CACCATGTATTTGAATTAAATGACAGTGAGAACGATGATGATGATTTATTTGCATTAAAAACCAATGATAACCAACAAGAAGAAGAAAGTGGTCGATTATCAAAAATATCGCAAATGACTATTGAAACTAGTAGTACATCAAACAAGAATAGTTTGGAATTTCAAAATTTCGTCGCCGAAACGCAAAGACTACTGAAACAGTTATCAACAGCAACATCAGATCAAACTGAAGACGACGAGAAAATTGCTCATGAGTTAGTTGATTATATACCAAAAATTCCTGAATCAACGTATCTATCAGATAACGTCGAATCATCATTGACAACTGAATTATTAGCGTCTCTTGAACAGTTATTATCAGTTGATAAAGATATTAACGATTACTATGATAAAATAGAATATACGTCGACAAGAGAAAATACAACAAAGTTTCAAAGTTAGTGCTTAGTCCATATATTTATTATATTTTGAAATCTCTCTTATGTTACTTAGATTCACTTTCAATTGAGGAAGAACCAATGTTACCATCTTCAACAGTCTCTACTCATGCACTACCTATTTTCAATGATACAGATCAAACTTTTATTTTATATATGAGTTGTTCTCAAACATATATGTAAGACTAATTCGCAGGTATCAGTTACAATATTATGATAATATAATTTTATTTTAGTTATGTTTGTACAAATCAACACATGCTATATTATGCAAAATTAACATCAGCAGATCCTATACGATGGCAACGTTATTCTGAAATGTGTGATGTGTTAGCTGTTAGTGAAAGTAATCGATCTGTCTGTCGTGTTTATAACAAAAAATTATACATTGCTAAAGATCCATTGAAAATTCCCCCAGTTGGTATCGAATGGGAATGTGTCGAAGACAATGTATTAAGTGTGTGCATTGAAGATTATTCTGCATGGTAAGAAGCATATCACCGATAGAAAAATAGAGTTCATGCAGAGTCGGAGAAGAGTGCTTTTTCATATTCAACACACTCGATAACTCCTAAGATTTTCAATTTTGGATGAGAGGTATTGTCAAAAATTTGTGAAACTTTTTTGAACAAAATGGAGAAATAAAATTTCTATGGTAAAATAATGTTAGTTTCAAAAATTTTCTTGAATTTTTGACAATATCTCTCGCCCAAAACACAAAATCTTCGGGATTATCGAGTGTGCTGAATATGAAAGAGCATTTTTGCAGGACTCTAAATTATTTTTTTCTTCATGTTGATATGTGCAGTTTTTGATTTGTCTTCTCCACTGTGGCAAAATGATGTATAGTTTAGGTATATTAAAGAAGATGAAATGTTATATATGAGATTACACAATGGTGACAAACCGCCTGAAAATATATCATGTCCATTTCAATTGAGGAAAGTTGTTTGTTGTAAAGAAAAAGTAGTTGTGACAACATTCAAGTGGGAAATATTAATTCGAATTGGTTGCAATGAAGATTGTCCAGAAGGAGATGGTTGGATTATTATTGATCATAGGTAAAATTTTCTATTTCTATTTAAACCATCGTATTAACTGTTCCTGTTTAGTTTAGGAGCGATTAACGACTTTTTATTAGCACACAATTCTTTGTGGATTATTGATAACAATAATCGAGTTTGGTTTAATCATTATGAAAGCATTGATCGTGGATTCATCGGTAATGAAGCATATCACGAAGTAATAGAGATTATATTTATAGTATTCTTTAGTATATAGTTGCTTTACCTCTGTAGATGATACTACCAATAGCAGAGGACAATGATGAACTAGAAGAGCCATTGACAACAATAACTACTAAAAATTTAAACAAACATTTGATATGTCATAGCAGAGACTTACTATGTTTATATGATACTCATAAACTTCAAATAGTGCACACATCTGCGATAGGTAGAGATGATTAAACTGCTTAATTACATTTCTCTAATTACCTAAAATTATTATAGGCGTAAGATGGCAACCGTCAGTCTACGCTCTCAATGATGGCCAAACACGTTTGCAACGATTAATCTACGCATATCCCGATGAAGGTATCTTTGGTTATATTCATGCAGTGCATTTAGTTAGTGATTCTTATTTCATTGTAGATATTGTATGGGCTTTGAGAGCTGATGGAAATCTATTTTGTACAAATCTGGACGTAACGCAATCGTATACGTTTGCAAAACCATTGACTGCACAACATTTAACTCACGCATCATTTGTTCCGAACTCCAATTCGTCAAGTATAGATACTAGACAGACTATACTGTAAATTGCGACAGATGCTTTAAGGGTACCCCCCTCTTGTTTCACCATGTTGCCAAATGCGGAGCACACGTCCAATTGAGCTCCAATATATAGCAGCGATAGAACATCGAAAAAGAAAACCGATGTATTTTTGCCCAGAATTTTCTGAGATGTTCTTATATGGGTTTTCTGAAAAACTCCAGTTTTCATCGGCTCACATTACGACCTCTCAAAAAACTGGTCCGATCGAGCTCAATTTTTTACCACAGATACTTCACACCCTTCACAGATATACGAAAAATGCTGAAAAGCACACAAAAAAGTCAGATTTTTTCAGTTTTTTCACTGACCTTCAGTATTTTTCGTATATCTCGAGAAGGAAAGCATATTTCTTGGAAAAAAAATTTACATTCTGACATAGGGTGTGAAGTATCTGTGGTAAAAATTTGAGCTCGATCGGACCATTTTTTTGAGAGGTTGTAATGTGACTCGATGAAAATTGGAGTTTTTCAGAAAACCCATATAAGAACAACTCAGAAAATTCTGGGCAAAAATATATCGATTTTCTTTTTCTATATTCTATCTCTGCTATAAATTGGAGCTCAATCGGACATGTGCTTCACACTTGGCAACAAGGTGAAAAAAGAGGAGAGGTATCCTTAATGAGTGATAGTCAGTCGCCCTTTTGACTCATAAAAAGGTATGACCCTGCAGTCTATCAAATAACGAGGATTTCAGTCGTTTGAAACAGTTTTCAAATGAAAAAGTGCTTTGTTTTTTTCTAATTACGCTTCACTAAAATACCGGTATCAAACACTTATTTTTAGTACTAAAAAACCGTAAAAGTATCAAAAATAATCAACTTTGTTATCCAATTTCTGTGCAATTTAATTAGTAAAAGCATGCCCCAGTTGCTGGAATCCTCTAATCGGTCATGGGACGTAGTTAACTGATCAGAAAATTCATAATGTAGGCTATCAGCAAGGTGATGCATTTATAAAAGAACAGAGTATCAGCATGGACTAAACAAATATAGTATTCACTGCTTTTTCAAAATTTGCTAAAATTTCGAAAATTTTTTATTTTCCGTACTTCGACATAAGGCAATTTTATGCCCGGTAATATAGTCGCTTTTCCCACTGGTAGCTTCTGACCATAAGTTGCTTTACTGACTGACACATTTGGGTTGATCAGGAAGAGAACTTATAATGTATAACTGTGAGTTACTAAAGTGTCTGTTACGATTTACAGTTTATATCGTTTTTCGCTCGTTTTGGTCTTTAGAAAATCTTGTTTGGGCACTTGATGAGTCATGTAATATATACGTACGTTCTGTCAAAGATAGTAATTGGTTACAGTTAGATCAAACTCAATTTGGTACGTATCTGCTAAATCTGTTAAAAAGGGAGCATAAAAATATCTCTGTTAATTTAGATTGGACGATAAAACTAGTGCATTTGGCATGTAACTCAATTGGTGTTTGGGCAGTAGATAATGAAGGATGTATTCATTTTCGATATGGACATAGTGTTGAATCATCCGATTGTTTATCAGCAGCTTGGATTGAAATACCAGGTCATCCTGCGAATGAACACCGTTACTTTCTACAGGTTTATTGTTCAAAAACGTTTTGGATGGTGAGAGGCATCTACTAAAGTTTCATCGATTGCGATTCCCGACAAAGTTTGTCTTAAGGTATGGGCAATAGATAATAAACAATGTATTTATGTACGAAAAGGAATAACAGAAGTAAATCCACTTGGGAAAGAATGGAATCAAATACCAAGTATGTAGAATCTGCAAACGCATGTAATAGATAATGAAAACTTTAATTATCTTCCATGAATGCGTTCGTGATTTAGACTACCCCTCATATACTCTCCCATGTTGCCAGCTTGTAGAGGACATCTACGAGGGTATAAGTGTGCAATAATTCATGTATAGATATATGCATCAGTTATAGTCTTTTACTAGTTTATTGTACTTTTAAAACTGCTGAAAACTGACGAACAAAGTTTTTCGTATGTTGGTCTCGGTTTATATATATCAACTGCTAGTAATATACTGAGATTTATCTTAAAAATTTTACCCATATAAAAACATAACTACAGAGATGAATAGTCCAGAGTGTCCTCTGCTAAATGGGAAGTCTCCTCTCCATATTTCATCGTGGAGATTTGGCGTCGGATTTCCGAGAAGACACAGGATCTTCGATAATCTACATATTTTTTCGAAAAGTATGCAATGTTTGGCTAGTTTCACTTTTCAAACAGGAAGTTTTTTAGCCTTTTACAACAATAACATTGCTATAAGACGAAGACTTAGCAAGTTCGATAATCTACGTTTCCATTTATTTTTGAGGTTAATAATCGTCGTCGGACGCGAACCCCTATGTCTTCTCGCAAATCGACCGCCAAATCTACATGTTGAAGTATGGAGAGGAGGCTTCCCATTTAAAAGAGGATACTCTGGACTATCCATTCCAGTAGAAAAATGAAAATATCCTTGTGTGAGTTTTTCGAGACACAAATTAGTATTTTTTGAAGTAATGCAAATAGCTGAGAAAATTGACTTTTTAAAATTTTTAAAAAAGATTTCACTACTGAATCAAAACTCATGACATTTAAGTTATTGCACACCTATACCATCGAATGTATCTCTAAAGGCTGGCAATGTTTGAGGATATGTGAATGGGGCCTCTAGGAGACTCTTTATATTAATGGTTCAATGCAACTTTTTCAGATGTTTCTGCAATCGAATTGGCTATATCGGATGATACAGTGTGGATATTGACTAGTCTTGGTTATATTCAAAAACGAAATCAGATAACATTTGAAAATCCAAGTGGTAATACTTGGACGACATTACCAGAAAAATTTCATTCATTGACAGGTAATATGGCTTTTTTTACATGTATAAAATCACGTCTTACTTAATCTTTATTGTTACTAGCTTCATCTCAAAATGAAGTGTGGACGTTAGCCTCAAATCATCAGTTAGTCAAACTTGAACAAAAACTTGTGCAACTATGATAAATCCTCAGTAATTGTATATTCTAATCTTTTAAAAAAAATAAATGTTTTTATTTCAATGTTTTTCTGATAAAAAAATTAAGTTGTGAAAGGCTATAACATCATCAAAATAGGATCCTTTACACACGCACACACACACAAATACAAAATAAATAAAGCAAAGTTGAAAAAGAGAAATTGTTCTAAAAACCGGAGAAAGATGACTTAGGACGATGTTTTGATTAATGTTATCAGCAATAACGTAACCAAGGAAATTTATCGATTCTTGAAGCGTCTGGCCATCCGTATCTATGATAGAGTAGAATTTTTTATCAATATTTTTTGTTTAATATAAGAGAGTAACTCTTATGTCTACTTACCGAACATTATATTCCGAATATAATGCATCTGGCTTTAATTGTGTTAATGGTCGTCCCGGTAGAGTAAAATCAGGTTGTGGATTTATGGTAAATGGTGCATACTGAGACTCTTCCGGTTTTTTAAAACGGTCCATATGTTCGGTTTCACCTTACAAATGATATATACCGCCCAACATATATCTCGTTAAAAGAACAAGACTATCTATATAGCTTACCAGGGAAGTAGGGATTAATACCGGCCTTTCGTGCAAGTGTTTCTGAATCCTGAAACAGATTTTGATTATATAAATTTATACAACTACGAGATGTCACGGGTGTTGTGCTTGGACGTTTAAGTTCTAAAAAATGGATATATTTTATAACAAAATAACTCAAATAGTAGATGAATGACATACAAAAAAAGCAGCAGATTATTTTTCACTGAAACTGTCAGATTTTATTTCACTTTAATTTCTTCTCTCAGAGAAAGAATAAGCAGATACAAATAATCGGTTTCATTGTAAAGATTTTGAATTTTTTTCTCTATTACTGCAAAACAAGGGTAGTGTTTATAACAGTTGACAGAGCAAATAAACAGCAGAGAAGAAAAAAGGCAAAATTGCCTTGAGGTATTACAGTTACCGTTGCCATGCTGTTGCCGTTACAAGAATGTTGGATAAGGATTTGAGAATAATCTGTAAGCGGTGCGAAAGAAACGCATCTCGCCATTTACTACTATCTCCGAGATGCTGACTTTACTACTCTCTAAAAAAAAATGGTTCCATACAATACCTTAAAGGTTTCATGGATCATTTCTGAACTTTTAATGATTTCGCTTTTATTTATTGAATCTATAGAAGTTTCGTAGATCGAAAGGTTTTATGCTCAATGTACGGAACTAGGAAAGGTTCCATGTTTAATTTGGGGAATGTAAGAAGGTTTTGTAAATAAATACAAAACCTATTTAGACATGTACGGAACCTGTTTAGCCTTTACTTGGCAACATTTATTTTGTTTTCTACCGACAATAGCAATACAGCTGTTCGTTTGCATTGTTATTGCCTACAGCCTTTAGCATGCCCGCTTCTTAGTTGCTTTAGCCTTTGTTTTTTAACAGGTACGACTTTTGTTTTGAATTTTTTTGATACTGAAGCATAGATTCAAGAATTCATTCTAGGCTCAAAAGATAGAGAATTTCCTGTTGTACAACGCACAATAACTTTGATATTTACATAGTATTTCGTTATTTAAAAAATAACAAACAATGAAGGCAAGTAAAGATTAAAGCTGTGATGGAAAGAACCGACTTTAATTTTTCTTATATTTGACCTTTCTCATTACTTAAGAACATTCAGTTTCTCCTTATTAGAGCTGTGTAGTGTAACCATTCTGTCGTTGTCTAATTCATCCTCACGGGAAAAACGACGTTTCCCATCATTTTTTTGTTAATGATCGGCATCGTAAAAATGATGGATGAGTTTTATATCGTATTAATTACTGTATACACTAAAGTCCCAAGGATTTGTTATTAGTGCAAGCGATAGTCAATTTTCTGTTATGCAAATTACAAACCGCTTGAATATCGTCAAAAGCAAGATATCTTTCTAACAGCATCACAATTTTCATTTTTACTTGCTTCCATTGTTTGTTATTTTTTAAATAACGAAATACTATGTAAATACCAAAGTTATTGTGTGTTGTACAGCAGGAAATTCTCTATCGTTTGAGTCTAGAATGACTCTTGAATCTATGTTTCAGTATCCAAAAAATTAAACAAAAGGTCCTGGTAAACGAGCACCATCGAACCTTTTTCTAAATAAAGAAGTACGAGTTTGCCACGAAACTTTTTTTTTCAACAGAATATTTAAAGGTTTCGAATTCGTTTTAAAAGTATAAGCCTTCAAAGATTCGGTAGAGAACCATTTTTTTTACAAAGTACTAAATTCTATAATTGGATTATTTACTTTCTATCTATCGTATATTACAAAGAGCATACGTCCGTACTATTTAATCAGATATTTGTTTGTGCAGAAAAACAACAAAGAAACATTACTTTTTCATTGAAGTGCAAGTACTTTAACGAGTGAAACTACGAGACAGATGTATAAGCAAGCATCATACATTTTTTTGTTGTTAATATTTTGACAACATAAAATACTAAATAAAATAATATTAAATGATTTAATAATGATTCTTTATTCATAACTGACAGATCATTACTCTCAAAGGTTTAATTCATAAACCATAACGATTATCAGAGTATTTTTAATTTGATATATAGGTTTAAAATTTGTGTACACTCTAAAAACGAATCCGGCTTATTCCACCCCTCTTTTTCTTGTATCATTTCCACTTTTGTTCTACTGTTTCCAAAGATCTTACTCGAAGTCTCTCCACACAGAGACATCATTTACCTCTTGTCTTTTTCATTCAATACTTCCATGTAAAATGCAACAGATTTTTGCGTTTTAAACGTTGCATTGTATGCATATTTTGAGTTTGTTTCATTTTTTTTTATGAAGTATTGACTTCATCTACAATGTCAATATTGTACTACTCTTATAATGTTGTCTAGGAGAAACAGTCTTAAGTCAAACTAGTATAGAAAATCAGAAAGAAAACTCAATGATCTTAAAATAAAACGAATGAGGAGAAGACACATCTTATTTTAAGGTTCATCTGTTTAACTTCTCGTCAAAATACTAATTGAATCTTATTTTAAGATGCATTATTTTTAGAACCCTTACATAAAACATTCACTAAAATTCAAAGATGTACCTGGTAGCTGTTGTCTCTTGCCCGATCCTAGGTAGCCTAATGTTTTTTGATTGCCATACATGCTGTTTGATCGTTGAACATTGCCAAACTGCGTTGATTGGGTTAGAGATGGTGGACTATAATCTGAATTTTTGAACAAATTTTAGTTAACGAAAAGCAACAAAAAAGCGCTAAACTCACGTTTAAATGCATGCACCCAGTGTCTCCAATCAGGTGTCAACTGTCCTGCTGTTTTCAGTCCTGGTAATTTTCTATCAGCCCATGTAAAATGAGTGTCAAATATATTAGCTGCACCACGTGTTAAATTATTACGATATCCGATGTAACGATCGGTTACGCCTAAATGATGAGCCAAATTATCGAGTCGAGAATAAGAACTCATAGCATAAGGATGAATTGCCTAAATAACATTGTCATATTGGCAATAGCAGGCGTCATAGATAAATATTCTTACCTGAAGATACTGTAGAACAGCGCCATGAGCCCAACTGTTAAGTTCTCTAAAATGAACAATATTGACATTAGTACGAGTTCTGTTTTTAGTCATTTTATATAAAGACATTTTACCTAAGTTGATTCTCCTCTTTTGTTTGAATAAGATCTTTATGCAAACACATTTGAAACTGACCGATAAGATCGTGTCCTTTGCTAATTAGATCATTTATGCCTAAAAACGGAATAAAGTGATGAGAAATATTTCTCGTTAGAGTCATTTTGTCTTGCGTTGTACCTCTTTCGTTGTATTTTAGTTGTTCTGGATCGAATTGTTTAGCCCATTGTTTACTACCGCTCTGTAATTCATGATCTAATTTAATATTATCTAGTGCACTATTTATATTTTTGATTTGATCACATATGTCTTGTGTAAAATAATAATATCCAGACGATATAAATGTTAAAAATTCATTTTGTAAATTTTTTACACTATTATCAAATGTAATATTACGGTTTACTTGTGCTGCTTCTTTGGGATCTGAGATAAAGTTGGACATTTTTCGAAATTAAACCTTCTTCATCGGTATTCACGACTAGTTGATTAACGAAGTGTCCTGTCCTCGTAAGATGATTGCCAGAAACCATCTAAAGAACACATCGTTTTTAGCTCTACAAAACTGGCCATTAAAAAAGTAGAACTATTTGGTTGCTAGGCACCGTGATTGATAATAATCTCTGTAGGGAAAAGCGCTAAAAGACTAAATATAACTCGTCTTTCCCATTTAAAGAATAGAGAGAAACGAACTTAAAGCTTGTCTAAAATAAATATATAAGTCACGATCATGGCGACAGACGTTCATTCATCAACAGTTTAACCAATGTTTGTTTCAAAATTCAATTAATCAATCAAATCATTTCTGTGTAGTTAAAGTCGGCTCTAAAATTTTTAGTAGTTCTTTTATTCAGGGTTTAAGAAAACACTGTCCCGAAAGGGCATACTTTTAGAAAAGCATACTTACATTGTGCTAATCACATGGAAAAAGTGTAGTGAAAGTATGCTTTTTATGTACTACTGGCATACTTTTACTGTACTACTGACGCATTTCTAGCGTGCTTTTGGCACACCGCGATAACATTTTTGGACTTTCTTTTCTAAAAGTATGCGTTTTCGAGACAGTGACTCTATATGAACTTATTAGATTATCTAAATGCGCATAAATTTTATCTAGCTTTTTGGTAATTAAATTCATTGATCTGAATAGAATATTTCAATTTGAAAATGACATTTTACATTAAACTTTGGACCGTACAATCCTGAATACAATTTTAAGAATGAAGAATACAAGCGCTAAAAAGAAGAACGGAATCTTTTGAATGTATGTACCTGAGAGTTTTGTAAATATGCAGTCATATTTTTAGTAGCCAGCACTACTCAGAGTACATTAGGAATAACAGTTACTGATCATGAGCCTTTAGTCAATACTTCCACTATAGGACGCTATGGGGCTTTACTATGCAATGATGGCCTTGTAAATGGAGTAAAATCAAGTGTCTGAGTTTTACCTACGGCAAGTTTTTTCTTGTACATATAAATACAAGTTTTATACATGTTATTCTGCTGAATATAGGTTCAGCATTTATTTTGACACTTTAATGATCATTCGCTAAGGTAAAAATTTCGATTATTTTCCGATACATTGCTGCCAAGTCTATCAAATATAAGATAGTAGAATAAAGAGATGAATGAAAAAGAAAAGTGTTGTTTTATAAGCCTATTGGAACTTGGCTAAAGAGTATCGACAGGAGTGTATACATTTTTTTATGTCTAATTTGAAAAGCACTTTTAGAGGAAGCACGAAGAGTTTTAGCTAAAAGCGAGAAATAAGGTGATATATAACCTTTTAGATCCTAATGTGAAATATCCAATAGAAGTGCGTGCATTCAACGTAATCTCGGCTATCTTCATAAAATATTGATTTTATTTGTAGACAATGGGTGCTCAATACAGTAATTTAGGTGATTTAAAATCAAACGATTATTTAATACGTTTTGTTGGTGAAGAATCTATTTCTGCTAATGATCCATTTTGGAATCAATTTTTATCATTTCGTCTTGTATCTCCCTTTACAACGTGAGTAAAAAACATATTTGATCCCGTGAGATTAGAGTGTAGTGTGTGTTTCTTGTTTTAGTGCCCATTCAAAGTTGATTGACGAATGTTGTTCGATATTGCTGCAACACCTTGAAACAAACAATCCAAAAACGAATAATTATGGAACACTGATTGAAGTATTTATTCGTCTAGCAAATGAAGTTCGTGAAGAATGTGAAGAGTACGTGTTTGAGTAAAACTGACATAAAAACTATTTATTTATATGTATTTATAGTACGGTAGTTACATGGCAAACGTATAGTTCACTGCTTGTTTTACGTTGTATAACAAAATATTTTATTGAAATTGATTCTGAGCAAAATCTTTATCCGTATTTTTTAACGCAGGATAATTCTGGTAATTGGAAAAAATATATTTATGTTTGTTTCTATTTTCGACCAGAAATTTTATTTATTTAGATAAACTGATGCTAATGACGAATTTTGTTGACACACTCTTCCGAACAACAATAGCCTTGCCAGTCACGTAAGCTGATGTGGTTTTGCTCTCTAAATGTGTTTGTTTCTAAAAAGAAATTGTTCAGTATATGCCCACAAAACTAGATTATACTACCTGTCATTCTTTTTCTGTTTATTTTAGAACATATTCCTATCCATTACATCTCGAGGTGTTAAACACATTACTTGCCTTATTATCGATTCAAATGTGTGCAAAAGAAGCATCATTAATTAGTGCTGTTTACAACATATTTATGCATCGTCTTGAGTAAGTCTTTTATAAAAACGAAATTGTAGTTGTCTCTGTTGTTATTAGTTCATTATTAGTATCTGAGTTTACTCGTATGTTACTGGAACATTATATCAAACAAATACCTTGTCCACAGTCACTTGCTCCAACACTTGAAGCAGACAGTGGAGTACTTTATAAACTTGGACAAAGTGTTGCATGTAAGTGTTCGTATAAGTAAATAGTTTGAGACATATTTCGTAAATATATGAATCGAAAATGTCTTTATCTTAGAAAATGAAAAACGTTTTCTTTAACGATATATTCTCTATATTTTTATTTTTTCTAGCTAGTTTATGGTCTGTTGTTACGCTTGGTCTTACCTCATCACCCACGACAGTTACTCCTAATGATCGAGATGTCAATAGTAATTCAATCTCAGATATTCCAACAGATCTTCAAAATCGTTTATTATCGAATCAAAGTATACATTTATTATTAATATTATCAAATCATTTTACAAATGATGCACACAGAAATCCATATAGATTGGCATTACTACATTTTACAGAAGGTAAACTTTTCTTAAACATTTGTGGTTAAAAATTTAGTTATCAACATAAGTCAAAAGGATAAGCTATTGAGATTAATAGAGTCATCTTTATATTTCTTATATTTAGTGTCTTCTTCGCGGTTTCATACTGCAAACAATACGCAAGGTCAGCTTGCTTTTCGAGTGTTTTTTGTGCATCACATAAGTTACTAACAAAATCGGGAATTCTTTTCTGCGCCTTTTCCTAATAATAATTCAATTTTACGCGCAAATATTTTGGTTTTTATTTGTTTTACATATCTATCTATTTATTGTTTATGGTTTTGTGAAAAGTACAAACTTTATTTTGTAATGATTTTTAGCTTAGGAAAAAAGACTCGAAATCCTTGAATTTTATTTGCCCGACTTCAGTAGCAGATGTTTCTCAATTTGACTATAAAAGAAGTTGTGACACACTATATAGTTTTCGAATAACGCTTAATCTAAAAATTCTACAAAAGAGAAAATAGTTGAGCGAAACGTGACCTTTTTAATGATTGATTCAAATTGCTAACACAAGGAACACTGAAATTAACCCTTTTGTTTTAGATAGTCCTACAAATTTACCAGATTCTGAGCCTTTACCATGGTTTTCAATTGATTATCGTCGTTTGTACGATGTATTATGTCGTACAGTTCACACTGATCAAAGTACACTATTACTGTACATGTTATTACATCGAAATCAACATTTTAAGGCTTATGTTATATCACAAACAAATATCGATCAAATAGTATGTCCTATCTCCCATTATATATCGTTTTCATTTTTCGTATTTCTTTTGCTTTCTTCAGGTATTGCCTATTCTGCATGTGATTTATGCAGCACATGAACGCAGTTCGCATCACATCTATATGTCATTAATTATTTTATTAATTTTATCGGAAGATGATTATTTTAATAAAACAATTCATGATATAAAATTAAAGAAATTAACGTGGTGAGTTATATCTTGCTTAATACTATTTCCCTCTCTCATTTCTGACCGTGTTACAAAAGCATAATATTTGATCTTAGACAGTTGGAATTTCTACCACAGCTATAAAATAAAATGGACATATTTTTTGCTCAGTCGTTCGAAATCATTTTTTTGTAGAGCTCTCGAGAAGCTTCAATTTTTCACTGCACACGGTCTACCTCCATCAAACTTTGTCCGTTCGGACTGAAACCTTTACCGTGGATACTAGGCTGAATTTGGATCGAACATGTTTTACGTAGAAGTTTTGCAATGTTTTCTCTTTCTTGTTTTGAGATCAAAAATATTATGAAGTTTTCAAAAATTCACTTAGAACTTTCTCCCTGGCCCCAAAAAAGGAAAAAAACGTCTGAAAATCATCAGTCGAAAAACATCCGAGATGTCTAGTATCTGTGCTAAAAATTCTGGTTTAAACAGTTTTTTTATTAGATCAGTTCATGTGCAATGAGCGTTAGAACATGAGACATTGTAATGATTAAACGCCTTTTTTTAGGGCTTTCACACTAACTCTTGTGTCTCTTTGCAAAACTACGTTGAAGAGTTCGAAAACGATTTATTTTGATGAAAAATATTTGATGTACAGAACCGTGTAGTTAGACAATGTAGCCAAGAGTGGTCTAAAAAGCAACAAAAAAATGCCCTTTTTTTCTGAAGACGAATTTGTGTTTTAGCATAGTTTACTGGTGAAAAGAAGCAGAAAAATCTGAAGAGACGGGAAAAAGATGGTAGTTCTGCATTAAACATCCTAAAAAAATTAATTTCTCGGAAATGAAAGATTGCGGATAGCTTGGGCCGCCTTATTTTTGTAAAGGACACTTTAAAGTATATTTCGTTGTTACAAAAGGTACACTGAACGTTCATTAAACGATATAACATTGGGTGGTTTATTAGTGGTTGTTGTGTTACGAACAATTCAATTTAATATGACACGTATGCGCGATAAATATTTACATACAAATTGTTTGGCCGCTCTCGCTAATATGAGCTCACAATTTCAACATCTTCATTCTTATGTTACACAACGTATTGTTAGTCTCTTTAATCTACTATCACGTAAACATTCAAAAACATTAGATTTAATTCAATTACATTCAAAACAACAGTCAGCATCTACATCAGCATCTTCAACTACTGCTATTTCAACGACAACAGATCAAGTTTTAAATGATCATGTTCAAGATTTAACAATCATTGAAGATGTTATGCGTATGGTATTAGAAATAATCAATTCATGTTTGACTCACACATTGGTTCATAATACAAATTTGATTTATACTTTACTCTATAACAGAGATATATTTGAAGCATATAGAACACATCCATCATTTCAAGATATACTACAAAATATTGATACTGTAAGTACATTTTCTTTTGATTCTTTTTCTAAAAAAAAGAAAACTATTCTAATGTCTTGTCCAATCTCCCGGTTCTAGTATCACATTACTTTTTATTATTTTGCTTCCCTAGGTTATTGTATTTTTTACTGAAAGAGTTAATAAATTAGGCCAACGTTCAGTGGATTATGTCAAAGAAGCATTAGACTTGGGTGCACGACAATTTCCTCTCGACCGTTTGAAGGTATGATGGTTCGAACGTTAAATTTATGTTTGATGATTGAATTATTCATATTTTAGAAATTTCCTGAATTGAAGTTCAAGTATGTTGAAGAAGAACAACCAGAAGATTTTTTTGTGCCGTATGTGTGGACATTAGTTTATAAATCGTGTAATTTGTATTGGTCATCCGAGTCAGTTCTTATATTTAAAACTCAACAACAGCAATCGAATGGATGAAAAAAAAACTATTCTGCATGTTTATTTATTTCCTTTCGTATATAGATAGAATCAATATAGATTTCCTTTTTTTGTTCGCTATTTTTATTAGGAAATTTGTTCAACCAGGGTTGTTTGTTGGTATTATTATGCTGTTTCTATATTTTCAAAGTAATTGGGTAGTTTCTGTTTTGATTTTTTATATGTGCACAAAAGAATTTTAAACCATTTATACTTATCTACACAAACAACGACAAGAATCAGACATGTTTATTTGGCATTTTTTTACTTCTTTAACGTCTTTCCTTTTATTTCTATCTATATCTTGTATACCGTTGTTTATTATTTAGTAACGATTATTGCAAACAGAATGTACATACGTTATTACTAATTTTTTTACTGTTTTTTATACGACAATGAAGTATGAAACTATTCTGACTTTTGATTGCGATAAAAACTATTGTTTTAGATTTAAAGTACGAATTAGTATGAGTGGCAGTGGTACTAAACCAGTTCCTCATCAAATACCAACACTTCAGGATCCAGATTATATTGTTCAAAAAAAAATTGATTTAAGACATATAGCTAATATGAGTAGGTTATTTTGTTTTTTGTCTGCTTTAAATAGTATGACTGTTATCTCTTGTTTTCAAAGGTTATCAAATGCATGTACCGGATTCAATTACAGTTGGACCAAATCGTTCAAATTCACCTCATCTCCATGACGATATACCAGTGAGAATGGAAGTGCCAGACAGATTAAGACCAGGTTCGTATATATCAATTTTAATATAGCTCAGAGCTCAGTGACTATAAACTGTTATCGACTCATTCGTATTGTCAATTGATTGAATCACAAAGAATTTCAGAAAAAATTGAAAGCGAAGGCGTATCCAACAGATAAAATATTATAATTATTGATGTCAAACCAATTGTTGAAACATACATAACGAAGAATTGACTGAAAGACAGGAAAAAAATAGATTGAAAAACATCCTGTAAAAAAGTTGCTGTAGTGCAGCAATGATTCATTATTAAAGCTCGTAATCACTATGAAAAATGTTCCTCACCTTGGTTTGCGGCAAAGGTGTATGCGAGCACCCAGGCCGTAGAAAATCTTGGCGCCCAAACTTGCTCTGACCTGAAAGCCAAAAACTGCTTAACTCGCACTGTATTTTATGCTGTCACATAAAATACACAAAGAACAAAAAACTTAGATATTTTAGTTGAAGTTTCTTAGCAAAATAAGAATATCCAGTGATTCTGGACTTTATGGCCGTTAATGGGTTTCTAAAACATGATTTGTTCCACTAAAAATTCTTTCATATACTGTGGAACTGGCTAGTATTGCTAATAAACATAGCTTACAGGTTTGAGTGAAAGAGAACTGTAATGCTATTATTTGCTTAAGGATTTCCGCTGTGCTTAATTTCTCTTTCAAAGTTACAAAACGTTTTGATAACATTTCTTTTCTTTTTTCCAAATTAGACTATCTTTTTTTACAGTGTAATGAGTAAAATATAATATACGTTTAGAGACCGGATCAACTTGCTTCTTATATTTCATTACAATAGAACTGTTAATTAAAAGCATTTTATCTTTCTTAGTATCGATAATAATTGTAAAAGTCAAATAAAAAACCGTATTTCGTTTGTCGTACAAAGTAACATAATATTAGTCTTGAAATGACAATCAAATTCTGTGTGATTTTAGAATATGATTTTGAGATTAAGATTGTTTGTGTCAGATGGAAAGAGAGATTTAATGATACTAGAGGGTGAAATTGCAGTTAGACAAAGAGTATTTACCATTTTAAAGGAAGAACTCTGAAAGAGATTCAAAAAAGAATGAAATGATCGTAATCTCGAGAAAGAAAAGCCATTCTAGATTTGAGTTATTTTTCAATACACTTTCTTGTTTTATTTTTATTATTATGTTTCAACGTCAGACAAAGGTAGAATAAAAATAAAGAAAAGATAATTGATCACATTATCTTCGTCAGCATTATCACATATACATATATATATAATCTGATTAATTATCTTTTCTTTATTTTTATTCTACCTTTGTCTGACGAAGACGTCTTTGACGTTGAAACGTAATAATAAAAATAAAACAAGAAAACGTATTGAAAAATAACTCAAATCAAATTATCTGATCTTTCTGTCCAACTAAAATTTTTGTCTTTATTTTAGTCTTTTTCTCGTTTGAAGCTATTTTACTTAATGGATAATCTGGGCATTCGTAATATTTTCTTTAAAATAACTAAAAGATCAAGCGTTTTTCATCATAGGTGGAAATGGAAGTATGGTACTTTTAACCGATTCTGATTTTAATGACAATTTTTATCATAATCAAGAAACATCGTCACCAACAACAACTCAACAATCACTACCATCAACAATGAGACAGATGGATATTGAACCAGAAAATGACGATTATTATAAGTCGATGCTTGAAAATCAATCATTCTCACAACAATACGAGAGAACTTTATCAAAAACACCAAATAATAGTACTGCATCATTATCAGATGCGTAAGTAAAATAAGAATTTGAGTTTTTCTCAAGGGGGAAAAAGCACTACAAGGCAAATGCCAGAGGTGCAGGATCTACCCGTTTGCGCCGACGGCCGAAAAAAACATTTTTTTGAGGAAATTTTTTAAGGTTTTGGAAAAACGAAGAATTATACGAAAATACCAGAACCCGACATGTGTGAATAAACAGAAACAGTAGTTTTAGCAACAATAAAATCGCATTGTTTTGCTTCTACTTTTGTTTTATGCCATGGAAATTTTATTATAATCTTTTACCGTCTGGACAAATTTCCTAATCTCATGGGTAGATTCTGTACCTCTGGCAAATGCACCCATTCCGGAATACGTCTATTCTGGTTAGAATGTGCTCTTTATCTCTTGGTCTTTCTACTCTTTTGCAATCTCCTGGCTCATACTGTTCTTATCACTTGCGTTTTTTATTTCCTCTAGATGGCATGTTGAACCCTATGGAAAAGACAATAGTTTAAATCTTGTCGACAGTAATAAACATTTAATTGAAAAAATTCAACTGTTACAAAATCGTGTACATCAAATAGAACGTTCACTACAACGACGTGATTTTCGAGATCGACTGTTATACTCAGTTGTGTTTGGCTATGTTCTTATACAAGCATTATTATCTGTGCGACGATCTATTTTAAATTAAATATCCCATTTACATCACATTCTCATTTTATCCATGAAATGGTTCTTTATTTTTCTTTAATTCACATATGTTTTTCTCTTGGACATTTCATTTTTTATTTGAGCTTCAACAGTGAAAATTATTTTTCTACGCGAGACGATTGGTAAATAAAACCTAAATTTTTGTCTGTTTACTCAAACCAGTGGTATGAGAATCATTGATTTATTTAGGTTTCATTTACCGAAGAAGCAGATGAATGTTCCGAGAGGACTACTGTCTTAAATGCTATTATTTGTCGAAGATCGACATGGCAAAGTCGATTTTCGGCGGGGCACAACCCACCTGATCAGTCCACTAGATGAATCACTAATGAGGTTTTTTTTAAAAATATTTGCTTTCAATATATTCCTTTTACGTTTAGAACAAATTTGATATTAGTATAGATCGATTTTTGTTCATTCCTTTGTTTGAAAAAAAAAGGTAAAGATACTGTCGTATGTTTTCAAAAACAATTTTTTATTAACTTATCGTGAGTGATGTTTAATACGTAAAAAAAAATGGTAAACTTCTTTTGTCAGTTTTGCAGTTATGATGTACTCTGTTTACACATTGACTATCAACTTTACTCTGATTTTGATTATCAAAAGTTCTACAACGACGAAATCTATGTATTCGATTAATAGATATTCGAACTGTTTTGTATGGGTAATGTACACGGATAACGATAATAGTTCCCCGATTTCAAACTTATCGTCGAATTACTATTCAACTAATTCTGTTAACTATGCAATAAGTAGGTATGCACCAGTTACGGACTAGTTAATTCGACTGGTTTTTAGGGCATCCAGGAAAATTGTTATAACGTCGTTGTTAAGAATCGCTCAGATTTGCGGAACATCTCATTTTGTAGAAAAATGTTTGTTCTATGTATTTGTACGTAAGCTAAAAGAGAAGCGTTGTTAACGAATCACTAAAGAGGCCGAATAGTTATATAACTGGTGACTAGTTATCACGTACAGTTATGACATTTAAGAATGTTCATATTTTTGTTACAACTGGCCTAAAACTTTTCTCGTTTCATCAAATAGATAGAACAAACATTTGTCTACAAAATGAGATCGCAAGGTTGAGCGATTTTTAATAGCCACGTTAAAACAATTTTCTTGGATGCCCTAATACTAGTTATATATCTGCTGCATGCCTCGCAATAAGTAGTATATGACGATATTTCGCTGTTCTCGTTGTATTTTTTTATACTAATACATATGGCATACGCTGATACATATTGTTCATTAGGTTTCATTGTTCTTAGGAATATTTTTGCATGTCTTTTGTTGTTTTTCATTCAAAATTAATACCAGTAACTTTCAATCATCAAGTGAACTATTATTGCTATTATACACTAGAATACTATCGGCAATCATCATGTGGAAGTCTTTGTTACATTCACATTGATGATCAAAGGTCACATTGAATATGGAATATGGCTCCATTCGAGCAAGAATATTATAGAAGTCATACTAAACCTGTTCAATTATAACAAACTAGTATTTTCATCATCATTCAAGCTCGAGAATGAGATTAGTTTGAACTGTCTGCGGAACTATTTGCTAATTGAGACTAAATACCATCAGAAATCACAGAATTGTAATGATCAACGACAGAATTGAAAATGTATATCGAGAGTTAACCTCTTTCTACTGTGAGAGTAGGAGTCAGCTGTATTTTTGAGTTCTAGTCACATACTCTCGTTTCTTAGCCAAGCCATATTTTCTTCTTCACATACACTTAGATATCTCAATTAGTACAGTATAGTGTTGAATGAATAATCATCCTCAGAAAATTCAAACAAAGTTTAGCACCTGTTAACTAATTAGTCATATGTATTGAATGATCTTAGTGTTTTATTTTAATATGTAACCATCATTCATTTTCTTCTAATTGGATAAACTTAGAAATGGTGACATTATGTCACGTAATAGAGTCGTGCCATAAGAAAGAACATCATATCAAAGGTTATTGCGCAAGAATATATTCAAGCCTATGGTACAAGAATATCCAAGATTATTGCGCGTATAAACAGATCGAGTTTTATTGTTCAAGGATAACTTTTTTGTTTGTTAATAAACGGTGGTCATACACATCACAAAGACGGCCCCTAACAGTGGTGCACTAGCCGGTGTTATTGTCAGTCCACCAGCACAATAACAAGAAAAATTTCAGAAAGTTCTCTGCGAGAGCCCGGGCGTACTGTTTAGCGGAAGGTAGGGATTCCCGAGTGAAAGGAATTGAGCGTTTCTGGTGGTAATTTACAATTAGGTAAAATTTCACAAACTGGTGAACATAAGAGGTACCACCGATCAACAGGCTGCAACAAACTGAGGTGTCTATCAACGATGTTCTGTACAAATTGGTGACACAACCACGAGCATCAACGAAAACCAAATTGATCTATGTTCCATCATCCATGCGAGAAGAAGTCCTCCAAAGCTATCACCCAACAGCGGCTCATTTTGGAGTCAATCGGACATGGCTCAAGTTGAGAAACACGTGTTTTTGGCCAACGATGAAAAAGATCATTCAGAATTACATTCGGTCATGTGAGAAGTGTGAAACTCAATATTTTTTTTGTGCGAAATTCAATATTCGGCGAACAAAATCGTCTGGACATGTATTACCAATCGATTATCCACAAGGTACAATGGAACTCGTTGGCATGGATTTCAGGGAACCACCACCGTAACACTCAGCAGATGGAAACAAATATGTGCTCGTCATCACATTCAACAACAACAAGCCAAGCGACATTATGATCGTAATCAAACTAATCCACAATACGAAATCAACGAACTGGTATTGTGGAAATCACCTGGTTATCATGGAAAATTCGAGGAACAATTCTCTGATCCATATATCATTATTGACTAACAACACCCGTCGTACACAATTCAAGATCAACAAACAAGAACAACCCGACAAGTGCATGTCAACGATCTCAAACACATCGACGAATGATATGTTTGATTGTTCAAGGATAACTTTTTTGTTTGTTAATAAACGGTGGTCATACACATCAGAAAGACGGACCCTAACAGGTGAAAAAGTCAAATTTTCCAAAACCCTGGTAAAAACCAGTGTTGCATGGGTACCGCACTGAAATTTATTTAATCAATTTAATTAGTCTTTTATTATAGTTGTTTATGCTGAATTTTGTATTACTGATCAGTACCACATTGACATGCCAAAAGCATGTGGCATTGCCTCGGCATTTCTCTTATGAGAAGGAAAGATGAAGTCAAAATAAAGACATTCGAAATATTAGAAGTAGACTGCGAGAGTTTTACATTCTTTCTGGGATCGATGCGCATCGGTGCCCAGAAAAAAATTATTCGGCACCGATGTGCACTCGTGCACAACCAATGCCGATAAAATATTTGTTTGTAGGGATGTTCATCTATATTTTTATAGTCATCAACTACAGTTATAGCTAGAGGGTACCCTGATGCAGAGTCTTGAATGAAAAATCTAATCTGCATCGGAAAGCTGAAATACACCGATTATAAAGTCGGCAGCGTGGCTAAGATCTCTATTCACATTGCCTTTGTGATATGTGCTAACAGTTTTTGTGGCATTTTGATGAGACACGAGATAAATGATGTTAAGATTGCTACTTGTTTATGTAGATTGATAATCAAATGATATTTTATTCAAGAAATTATATTGATCTTCCGCTTACCAGCGACTTTTTCAACCTGCAGAGCGGCGTATTGTCTAGTTTTGATTGAACTAACGTTGAACCAGTGAAATTTTGCTTCCAAATCTCTTGTTATTATTTGTTTATTATATGTCCTCAATCGATTTCATGCCATAACAAAACAATACACATGAGTAGTAATGCCAGAACATGATTTTTTTAGATGACTAAGCTTTTGAATGTGGCATCTGATGTAAAAGATGTGTTTGTTCTGCGCACGTGTTTTAGCTGCAAAGTCGTCGGATGGAAGTTTCCAATTCAGAACAAAAACAAAATGGAATCTCATTTTTTTTCAGTTAGGTTACGATTATCAAGGTATTCACTGATAATGTACCCTCTTCAGTGTAGAGTAGGAAAATAATTATCAGTTATCCGAAAAGATTGAAATTCCATTTTATATTGGTTAATTTGGAAACTTCTGTCCAATGAATTTGCGTTGTCATTTACTCTTTTAATGAGTAAGCACCGCTTCCTTACTTGTTTATTATATTTTTACCGCATATGAGTGCATCAGATATTGTACTGACTTTTGAAAGAATCTCTGGAATAAAGATACGCATTTTCTAGCTCTTAAAAGTTCTTGTGTTTAATGTTTACGCTTGCATTTCATTATTTAAAAACGCCACAATATTTAACACTAATAATAAGTGTGCTCAAAATGATGGGTTATTTTTGTAGTGTAAAGCTTCACAGGTACAAAACATAGGCAATTTATTTCTGCTCTACGAAATTGGATATATTGTACATTCGTATCATGTTGTCTGGCGAGTTTTCTTTCTACTTTATTCCAGTATTGCAAATTAACGTTTTCATACTCAATCTTTTTGCGAATTTGATACCCATCGATCTTGTTGGAATGATAGTCCTGAAGCAGGCCCCTAGCCAGGATTTTTGCGAAGGGGGGCACCGATTCGTTTTTCCCTTCAGAGGTAGTATGGAATATTTTTTCTGCTTGAGCGCAGAAGTGTTGTACAAAAACTTGCGTTTGTCTGCTCATATCAGCTGGCAACTTTGTCTTTTCAAACGATAAACGAGTAAAACAAAGGAAAACATTTCTGCTAGAAATATTAAGACTGTTCATTCCATACGAGTTGTTACTGAGAAAAAATGTTCAGCTGTAGGTAAAGAAATCTGTTTCTCTGTTTTCTTATTACCGCGAAAAGATGCTTTTCCAACGTCACTCATACGCAGTTTTATTTTGACTGCCATAATATTGTGAGCTGACTCTACAACATCTTCGGGACAGAGTATGGACAGTATAAAAACACAGGAACTTTGACATTATTCAGCGAGGAAACATCATTTCTTCAAAAGTTCGCGATGGGGGAAGAACCGGTCCCCTAGCTCCCCCTCTCTGGCCATGAGTCTGTCCTGGAGTCACTAGTCTTTTTTTATAAGTACACTCTCATTTAGCTTCTAAATTACTGAAATTTGAACTTCTAATCGGTATTTTACTTTTTACTTGTTCTGATCAATTATATTTTATTCTAGACCAAGCTATCGACTTTTATTTTTAATTTAAAGATAAGCTTTACTGACTATTGTAAAATTAATTAATTCGTCGTCAATGAGCAGTCACATGCGTGAAGTAAGTATTGACTGGAGAATATTTTTATTTTAATATCATTTGTTACTTTTCTCTAGGATTTAAGTCGAAATGAAAAAGTTCAACAAGCAAGACGTGTTTTGAATGAAAATAAATTTTCATTAGATGCCTGGGCTGTGCTTATTCAGGATTCTCAGGTATATTGTTTACTATGCGATAATCAAGTGACGTATCATCAAATAAAGTTTTATCCCCTTGTAGGACAAAAAAATCGCTGATTCACGTGATTTTTATGAACAATTGGTTACACAATTTCCAACGTGTGGAAAATTTTGGAAAATTTATATCGAAGCTGAGGTAAAGAAAAAAAAATTTCATCTATCTAATATTTCGTTCATAATTTTATAACCTTATTGTAATTGTAGATTAAAGCAAGAAATTATGAACGTGTAGAAAAAGTAAGTACGATGTATTTAAATCTAAAAAATCAATAGCATTCGTTTTTAATCTCATGATAGTTGACAGTTTTCTACGTTTTATGAGAAGACAGATGCATAAACATGTCTACACGGTTTAGTGGACGTAATGATATCTGTTCTCATATTGTCAAGTCAGTTCTCTCTTCATACATAATAGGGTCTTTAATCCAAACTGTGTGTTGTATTAACCAACTATGAAAATATCATTTTATTTTCTCTTCCGTTTTAGCTGTTTCAACGTTGTTTAATTAAAGTATTAAATATTGATTTATGGAAATGTTATTTGAACTATGTCAGAGACACAAAAGGAAAATTACAGTCTTTCAGGTTTTGTACAAATGTTTTCTGCTTCTTTTTTCTTATATTTTATTTTTATTTCAACTTGACAAAACTAATAAACAGAATATCATCGTCAAAGAAAAATATCGTAGTTCACAGATATATTTTGAAAATAAATTTCACCAAACATCATATATATCTATATTGTTTATTAACGCATAATGGTCGGAAAATATTAGCTTTCCATTCACTGATCGAAAACAAAACGAGAATAAGAAGACCATATAGTACCGCTAAAACCATCAAAAAGAAAAGAAAAGAAAAACTTAACTATTTTTCCTTCATTCCTAGAATGCTCCTGCACGAGAAGCTTAAGCTGTTCGTGGAATTCTAAGCTGTCATATGTGTGTATTACGAATCATAAAGCAGTTTAATAACCTTATTTCCCGGAGAATATCTAACCGTGTGGGGATGTTCTAGTGAATGTACTTGAAATCAAGTACTTAGCTACTTGCAAATTCTCTAAAGTACTTGGTTTTAGCACTTATCAAACATATTTAGATTTAATACGTGCAAAAGACCTTGGAAGAACTTCGGATACTTGCATATATTTCGCAAGGGCTTACCAGATTACCTGCCAAATACTTGATGAAGTACTCATCTAGTATTTATACTTGTTAAATTACTTGATAAATACCTTTTTTACTTGGAAAACAACTCCAGGTACTCTAGACATTACTTATCCAAGTACTTTTCTAAGTACTTGGTCTCAAATACATTCACTAGGGTGATACATTAAAAGTCCAAACGATTTTTTTCTTTTAAAACAACTAATTTCGTCTGATAAACATTCGCGTTAGAACATTCCATCTATTTCCAATGGAAATAGAAAGATAAAGTGTCTAACTTCTACTCCTCTTTTTCTACATGTCGATTGATGTTTGACCGAATGAACGAGTCTTAGAATAGAAGTTTAAATAATTTTATATGAAAAACTCGCTGAATATCTCGCGTCTTACACTCAACTACTTGTATGGCTTATGTAGCCATTATTTTAGGTTTGTATTCATAGTTCATCTCTTCTTATTGATTAATGGTAATGGATGGGGTAGATATAAAAGAAAAAAAACAAAAAATAAGTGAAAATAAAATAATAAATAAAATAAATTGATAAAAAGAAAAAAAATATTTATTTAGTACATTATTAATTTTTTTGTTTTGTGTTTAACTGTTATGGATATGAATGAGTATTTTGTTTACATTCTCTTAACATTATAAATCAGTATAAGAAGAAAACATGGTTTTCCAGCCACTATACAGTTTTGGATAATAATGGATATCCAAACAATAGAATTTTGATTTTCTGTTATTAAATCGTCTCCAAAAAAAACAGTGTGTTTTTTAGTTGTTTTTCTTTCAAAATAAACTCTTTAAGAACTAGAGTCTATTGTTTTATTCACTATTGTATTTATGATGATATGTGTGTGTTTGGGATTCATTTCTTATTTTATTCAATACGCCTAAGATTTAGATATCAAGATGAAAATAAGAAGCAAAAAAAACATGAATCTTTTGATACGTTTATTCTTCTTCTATGCGTTTTCAGCATCATTTTTTTTCCTACCTTTTTTTTATGTATTATATTGGTTATAGTTTAATAATTATTATTTGATATTAATATTCAATACAATGCCTGTACGCAGTATGTAAAGTTTTGTGTGATAGAGAAACAATGAGAGAAAGTATCTCATAGAATAATGAATTTATTTTCATTTTAAATTTTAAATTTTAAATTAATTTTAAAAATATTTTTTCTAAATATCATTTTATATTTCTTATTTAGAGAGAAAATGGCTCAAGCATACGATTTTGCATTGGAAAAAATTGGTTTAGATGTATACAGTTATACAATATGGAATGATTATGTGAATTTTTTAAAATCAGTGTATATATATTTTTTTGATTTTTTGTTGTCATTATATGACAATATTCATTTAATTAATTAATTTTTAGCTTTTTTAGTGATGCTGCTGGATCGTATGCTGAAAATCAAAAAATAACAGCTGTAAGAAAAGTTTATCAAAAAGGTATTATGACACCGATGACAAATGTTGAATTATTATGGAAAGATTATTGTAGCTATGAAACGGTAAATATATATATATATATATTTTTAACCCTTTCGGGACGGGTGACGTTTTAAAACGTCATTAAAACCTCAAAAATCGGAATAAGCCGTGTTTTTCAAAATTTTCTTTTGAAGAAACGTCCCTCAAAATTCGATCATAATCAAATTTCAAATATATCATCTTATGCGGTTTTTGACGTTCTATCTTTTGATGTATGATACATTTGAATAATATTTAGTTCTGAGTTAGAAATCTAAGTTTTTCCGAAAATTTCGGTCCTTCTCAGTAAAAGAGGGTTTTGAGCACAAAGACAGAATCGAAAGTCAAAAATGTTTTTGTCAGTAGATAGCTCTTGAAATTCTCTATCGAGACATTGCCATTTGAATTTTTTTGTCGAAAATCTCTTGGTTAGGAAAAACGAAATACTGAAGATGCGTTTTTTCCGTTTTTTAGGAAAATACTGTTTTCTACCTAACTCCGCCAAAATAAGTTGAAACTTAACGATATTTTCACATATGGTAGAGTTTAGTGATAGCTTTCTTTGACGAAAGGATGAAGTCTCTATCTGTCAGGGAAGCCGAGATATTGCAAAATAAAAAACGTCTTAAACTTTTGAACAGCACTGTATATATAAAAATTAAACCGGTCCTGAAAGGGTTAAATATTCATAAATGTTCGTATAGAGAAAGAAGTGTAAAATATTCTCTTGTTAGAATGAATATAGTATGGGTAATAAAATAATCTCTTTGCTTTTTAGGGTATAAATTCAATGTTAGCTAAAAAAATTATTGAAGATCGTAGTCGTGATTATTTGAATGTAAAACGTGTAACAAAAGAATTAGAAACAATGACACGTTCAATAGATCGAAATATTCCTTGTATATTACCACCCGTACAAACTCAAACAGAAGAATTAAAACAACTACAATCATGGAAAAAATATATTCAATGGGAAAAATTAAATCCATTAAAAACGGACGATATTCTATTAGTTACAAAACGTTGTATGTTTGCTTATGAACAATGTCTATTATGTTTAGGTAAAAAATGATAAATATTTTTAATGATTTTTTTTCTTTTTTTCTTTTGAATATTAAATTTTTTTTTCTTTTTAGGATATCATTCAGATATATGGTATGAAGCTGGTCAATATTTAGAATCAATATCTCGTCATTTTCACGATAAAGGTGATATGCAATTATCAAAAAAATTTCTTGATGATACATCACAATTATATGAACGTTCAATATCATTATTTATGAAACAAAATCAATTAATTCATTTTTCATATGCTGATTTTGAAGAATCAAGATCAAATTATGATAAAGTTCGAAAAATTTATCAAAAATTACTTGAAGTTGATGATTCAATAACATTTGATCCAACTTTAGCTTATATTCAATATATGCGATTTGAGAGAAGATGTGATGGTATTAAATCGGCTCGAGGAATATTTAAGAAAGCAAGAGAAGATCAACGAACACAACATCATATTTATGTGGCAGCAGCACTGATGGAATATTATTGTACAAAAGATAATAATGTAGCATTTAATATTTTCAATTTAGGTTTGAAGAAATATGGACAAAATGTTGATTATATTCTAGGTACGTACGTTTTGTTGTATCATGAAAAATAGTAAAAGGTATATTAGTAATAAACATGCACTACTACTCTACTTATACAGCTAAGCTGGCTTATACTTTCTTTTTGCGATTTTTCTACCTTATAGAAGAAACTAAATAAAAACTAAGGCTAAATACCAATGTCATCAGCTACTTAACTTTTATTTCTCTGTTTTTCTAAACTATTTTATAATAAATTATATTTGTCAGAGTGTGCTCTATCGGGCTGCGCTCTTGTATCACTAAATTCGATAGAATATGGTCCTGATATTTACACAACTCTTAAACTACAACTTTTCATTCTATCCTGACTTTCTTGTATTAAAATTATATCTATTCTAATAAAGACAATCTGTTTCGATAGTGCTCTTTTCAGGTACCAATCTAGTATAAAAAATATTTTTTTTATGTCCAAAAAACTCTCACGTATTTAAGTTGTATGAGTGCGCATTACTTTCACTCTATGAGGACACTGTTTTTGAAGCTTTTTTCCTGTATTCAAACCTAGTGGTAAAACTCTTTCTCCTGTAATACTTTGTCAGCAGATCTCTACTCTGACAGGTTTGTATAAACTTGAGCTTTAAATAAATTTTTCTATTTTTCAGAGGAATATGCAGAAAGGTGTAGAACATGGTTTTCGGAGCTTTTCCTTCTAAGTCTCATTAAAACGACTCAATCCAAACTCAGAGTGTTTGTTTTTATTCAGTTTCTTCTATAAAGTAGAAAAATCGCGAAAAAAACAATGGGTCAACTAAGCTGAATAAGTATGATTAAAAAGAAGAGCACTAAAAAAATGTCGTTTATTGAAAATATCTATATTAAAGTTTATCTGTCTTTGTGTTTAGCGTATATTGATTATATGACACATTTAAATGAAGATCATAATGCTCGTGTTTTATTTGAACGTGTTTTGTCACCCGATAATCAAATTCCCAAACAAAAACAAGCAGATATATGGTATGAATTTTTAAAATTTGAATCAAACATTGGCGATTTACCCTCAATAAAAAAAGTTGAAAAAAGACGAAATCAATTATATCAAGAATTAAATGAATTTGATGGAAAAGAAATATTATTACTTATTGATCGTTATAAATTTTTAAATTTATTACCATGTGATTATGATGAATTGAAACTGTTAGGTTACAATTCGGATTATTTATATCATCACCATCATCATCATCATACAAGTACAAAATTAACAAATGGAAACAGTGTTCATTATCATCCAGATTTATTTCAGATAAAAACGGCCGATTATTATCATAAAATTCATCGTGATAAACCAAATTATCCACAACCAGATATTAAACATATGATGCCGTATAGACCAACAAGAAATGTATTGCCCGGTTCACATCCCACACCCGGTGGAGTATTTCCATTGCCCGATACCGCTCTCTATCTTGTCAAAGTATTGCCACCTCCAAGAAATTTTGAAGTAAGAGATCAGAATATTATTCTCGTATAATCATCATACAATATTTTTATCATTCTTTAGGGTCCATTTGTGATTATAGATGAATTGATGGAAAAAATTGCACGTGCTATTATACCAGATAGTACGTAATTTCTCTTTCTCTATGCATACTTTTCTCTAAATTAATCTCTATCTTGTTTTGAATAGCCTATGAACCAGTTCGTGTTAATATCAATGGTGAAGCAATTCGTGAGAATGATATGAATCTTCATACAACAAATATTAAGAAAACAAGTGGTGGTCACGACAGCGATGAAGAAGATCAAAACAATAGTCAATCAGGAGCACCAATGGATATTTATCGTCAACGACAACAAAAACGAGTTAAATTAAATGATCAGCCACAGCCACAATGAAATAAAACGACTAAAAATCTATGTTTTTTTTTATATCCGTAGATAGATCGTTTTTCTTTTTTACGTATTGTGTTTCATATCTGTTTTTTTTGTTTATGTTTATTCAATTGTTCAACTTCAAAATTGAATAGATATTTTGTTTTTATTACTTGTGCACAAATATCTTTTGTGACGTCATATGTGTGTGTGTGTGTGTGTGTCTGTGTGTGTGTGAGCGTGTTTGTTGTTATACAACCCAAATATTTCTGAAAGAACATGTAAATAAAATAGTGCAAAAACATAATCTCTAAAACATAAGGTAGAAGAACATGATTTTTTTAGCTTGTACGCATATCCTTTGGATGTTCATTTATTAGTTAATAAATGATGAAGATTTTCACCATCGATAAAATAATAAAGTGGAATGATGGTTTTTAGATCTACCAACGATATTACGATGATGTAGCAATTTGTACTTGGCAGGTCTGCAGGGCGGTCTCGATCCGACCGGACTTTTTACGGGACTGGGACCAGACTTTTTTGAAAATAGTCTTATATGGAGCATAAAAATTACTTAGTTTTTGTAGCTTTTAGGCACTACACTGTAAAAAGCCGCACGCTTTAACCGTTCCAACCTGACGGTTTAACCGTCAGATAACCTGACTCTTAAAACATCAGGTTATGAGTCATCCTTTAAAATACAAATCCAACCTGACGCCAAAATGACGATTCTTGACGCTTTTTCCGTCACGTTGGGTGAGTCATCTGCCATTGAATAAACAAAAAAACCCGACGCTTAAACCGTCAGGTCGTGCAACCTAACGGTTTAAGCGTCTGGTTTCTCTCATCGAATGTTTTAAAATGAATTGTTCTTTCTTTTATGCTTAATGTTTTATCATTAACTTCACAGAAGCAAAGATTGGAACAAAAATTTGAATTTTCAATTAAAATGCATAAAAACTTAGCAGTGGAAGTAATGTGTTGCATACTGTCCCAAGGAATGTTGTTGATCACAAACTAAGTATTTAATTAGCTTTTTTCGAAATGTTCAAAGAAATCAGATGCAGAAACAGAGGAATCTATCACCTTAATCGTCAAGTAGGGGTTGAGCGTTTTGCATATTTTGTAACTCTCAGACTAGTTCGCGACACCCTAGAAAGAATAGCAACCAGTCGAATCGCCGATCCTTAGAGTATACATATCAAAGAATAACCTGAGGAATGTTACAAGGTAAAATGTGAGGAAGTTCTCTTATTATGAGTTCCGACATCATTTTAGAGGCCTGCACACAGATATTTTTGCAAGTCCCGATTTTGACAAACAAATCAGGGGGTCGTATCACGAAAAAACTTAAGTCACCGACTTAAGTCGGGACTTAAGCCTTAGATGAACTTAAGTTTAAGCCTTACTTAAGTTCGAGGACTTAAACCGTATCACGAACAAAACTTAAGTCGGTCTTAAACTTAAGCCCATGACTTAAGTCTTTTGACTTAAGTTCAGCCTTAAATTACTCAAAGTGTACTAATGTGTTGGAAAAATGAATAAATAGTTGTAAAATAATGGCGGTTCAGCTATTCGGATAATGGTGCTTTGCCGACGAATGATTTTCGTGCATATAAGCAACAAAAGAGAAAAAATAAATATTAAGATGAATCTTCTTAAAAATCCCATAAAAAGATCAAGATACGCCAGCCGAAGCAAAAGCTAGGCGTAAAACTCTACAGTCAACGCTTTTTTCCAGTTTTTACGTTGGTTGTAGAGCTTTTCGTTTCGAGCTAACTTTTCCTCTTGGCGTACCTCGACCAAAACAAAATGGGTTTTTCCTTTATTCTATTTCTTGTAGATTATTAGAATGTCACAAGTTAAAAGTCAAAAAAATCGTTCAAAAAATTTCTCTAAACGTGAAATTGATGTATTAGTTGAGAAGGTTCATGAAAACGAAGCTGTTCTGTTTTCCAAATTCAGTAATCTGGTAACTTTAGAGAAAAAAAATCATTTATGGCAAACGATTGCTTCATGTGTTTCGGCAGTTGGTGTTGCTGAACGCAACATTGAAGACGTGAAAAAAAA